AGAAACCTTTAAAAAATCGCCTTAGATTTTGAGCCCTTCGGACAAGGTCGAAGACGTTCATCGCCAAGTTAGATAAGTAGGGCAATTGGCCGATACCATAGTCAACCTAGACGGCTAAACTTTTCCAATTTGGTTCGATATTTTTGTTAATAAGGTACTCATTTCTAGCTACAAATACAACCGGAAAAACCATAATTTCAATTTGTTTTGTATGTTGATTAAGTATTGATCTCTACTATTGGCCTTATAATGTCTGTAGAATATTACAGTGACTATAGTACCATTGGACTCTATTTACTATTGTTTAGTGGCCGAGGGTTTTGGTGGTCCTGAAAAGGGCTGGTATTCGATTCGAGCCGATGATCGGAGCTTTGGACCGATGCGATCATACGTTCATCTGCGGGAGAGTGTAGACTCGGTAGCGAGTGAAGGGACTTGTGCAGTAAGCTACCAGTCGGCTGAGATATAATGCTGCGAATACCCTTGTTGCTGTAGCTCGTGTTGCCGGCTTGCTCCAGTAGTGAGAGTTGTGACTTCGTCGACGAGTCTGAAATAAGCACTTGAGCACCTGCTCATATACAGAGCTGTTGAAGCTCATTGGCTGCACACCGTGATTATTGTGAAGCACTGGTGGCACCAAGTGGATAACTTGTTAACCACAGATGGACAACACAATGATATTGGTCTATGGTGTCATATTCATAACTCCATGAAGCTGGAGGGGAGGTGATTCTGACATAATGCAAGGGGGTATATTCGCCGACCGACTTTCATGAAGCTGATAGGGAGGGGGATTTTCGCCCTCAAACCCAATGAAGCTGTAGTCCAGCTGTCCAAGAAGTGACCGGTTTATACTAATGGAGTTATTGACTGGAGAAGTCATCCTTGTATTGGACTCCATTGTCTATGATATTGGCCTATGGTGACAATAGCATTGCATTACAGTGACTATAATTTCACAATATTCAAAATATAATAGTTATGGCACTATAGTATTACATTATAAAGACTAGCATTGGAATAAAGTTGGCTATAGTAGGTATCACTTGAATTGGACTGCTTTGAACCAACTTGATTTATTCTGATGGTACTGTACGTTTTGTATTGTCTATAGTTGAAGGTGTAGTCGTATGTATAGAAGTAGAGTGAATAGTTTTGGAACAACCTCTAACTAGCATTTAATTATAAACTAGCTCAATACTGGACTAGGCGACAGACTGGCTATGACTTCTATGGTGCATTACGGTGAATGGACTGCAGTTTGATTGCAGTGGCCTATAGTATTACATTATGGCAACTGCAGTAACATGATGAAGATGATTATGATTAGAGAAGTGGGGGTTCCCCAAGCCCTGCAGCTTTCAGACTTATTTTACTTTTCCTAGTTCCTTAATTCGGAGCAATCGACTTAATCTTTTAAGAACTACTCGGTCCTTGACTGTTGCTGCAAATTTACCTTTCCTTGGTTTTCTTTGTATCCAATTGCTGTTTCTTTCTCCTCATTACAGGGCTATCACTGAATATACCCATGTAATAGTGATATTATGCCAGTGACCGGTAGTCATATATCCTCGAGTTTTGTCCTCTTTAACTGTAGTAGTGATTTTACCAGTCTTGGCGAAGGTTGTTTTATCATACGTTTACTGTTACTAGTGCCCCTAGAGTTTATCCACTTCTTCTTTTGTCTTTTTGGGATTCATTCTGTGTTTGTTTTTGTCATCCAAAGTATAGGTTCGGAGCCCATAGGTCTTGCAATTCCTCCTCTGGCCAGTTTATCTACATTTTCGGTACCCCAAATTCTTTAGTGTCTTGGCACTCAAAATATCATCAGGTCTCCTCAGGTTTTGGAGATTTTGGATGCATTCACTGACTATTTTTGATGTGATCTTTCTACATGCTAATGCTTTGATGGATGCTTGGCTGTATGACCTTATGAGGATTTTTTTCTAAGTGATGACTATGATGAATTGTGGAATAGTTCAATACTATGAGTAAGAAACAATTAAATTATTCATTATTATTATATTATTATTCAACTAAAATTGTGGATCTATAGGACTGTATTAGGAATTAAATCAGTACTATAATGGCTAGAAACTATATTGCTAACCCGTGAACTACTTCTAAACAACATAATATAAATAGTTTAGCATCATTGGATGCCCTGGTTTAATTTTGGTTCGGTTGTCTTTTTCTTTTAAACTCAATTATTGTAACACACAAATTTTTCCTTAGGTTTAAAAACGCGTGTTTTGCATTACGTTTCAAGATAAAATTGCTGACGTCAAATTTCTGTCAGACAAAATAGAGCCTGGCCCAAATGTCGTTCCGAGGAAACATTACCAAATGTGTCCAAAGGCCTCGTTCAGCGATTCATCACAACTGATGATTAGAATTTAATCACCGCTAACGGTAAAAGGAAGTCTTCTAAGCCGAAATTTCCAGTTCAATACGCGTTGAAACCATTAGCAACTTTCTCGTGTAACCTCGCCTAGGTAGAGGCTGCAACTATTTTGCATCGTTACAGCCAATATTCTTACAACTTTGAAAAGAACCACGCAATGTAAAAAAAAAATAAATTTGGCTACGCCCGTCCCTCCATAAAATCGACATAAACAAAGGCTGCTTCTTGTTCTAAACTTTGTAATTGTCCGAGATATAAATAATGAATAGTTTCATTAAAACCGCAAAGGAGCAGGTTGTGTGTATGCAATAAAGTTGAATTCGGTCGACTAGTCTTAGGCATAATGATAGGTCGGCATAATCTAGTTGTCGGCTGAAAAAGGGGTGGCTCGTGCGGAGGAGTTCATCTTATCTAAACACAACTTCCTTCTCTGCCTTCTTCCATGACGATTGTTCTGACTTTTATTTCTGCCTTTTTTTACAGACTAAATATAAACTTTGAACCCTGGCTTCGACAGTGGAGAATGAAGGTAAACAATCAAAAATCAAAATACATTGTTTTCACTCTTACTCGTAAACTCTCCCACCTATCTATTTATATGGCACTCCAATTCCTCCAGCGAATGGTATACGATAACTTTTCTTGGACAAAAGTCTTACGTGAAATCGACTAAAACGAATTGACTGTAACGTAATTAAGTTGACTGTAATTGAATTAACTGTTTCTTTTCCTCTCTTTCTCTGTTTCTCTCTCTGTCTCTCTCTTTCACTCAATTTCATTAACTCTGAATCTTTCTCTTTCCTTTGCCCTCACTCTATCTCATTAACTCTGTTTCTTTCTATATCTATTGCTTTCTCTCTCTCTCNTTCATTTGCTCCCTCTTTCTCTGTTTCTCTCTCTCCCTCACCCTCTCACTCTCTTTCACTCCATTTCATTAACTCGGAATCTTTCCCTTTCTTTTGCTCTCACTCCATCTCATTAACTGTGTTTCTTTCTATATCTTTTGCTTTTGCTTTCGTTCTCGCTCTCTCTCTCTCTCTCTCTCTCACTCTATCTCTCTCTCTTTCTATCTATCTCTTTCTCTCTCTTTCGTTTTATCTCTTTTCCTCTCTCCCCTATCTATTCACGTACACAAAGCCCACATACTTCCTCTATCTATCTTTAACTCTCTTTTCATTCGCTACTTCTTCGCTCCGGATCACATTATTCCCTACGTTTCTTTCACCATTTTATTTCAAAATACATGCGCTAATGAAACGGCGAAATTCCACTGAAAAACATGATTCCCCGGCTTTCAGCACGGGCCGTGGAAATGACTCACGGGCCAGTAGAAAGTCATTCTTATTACGACGGGCCTGGTTTTGAATCCTGTCAGGAGTGACTTTATCTTGAGGAGGAACCCTTTACCGCTCTGTTCGATTGAAAATGTTAATTTTTTTAAAGATATCAAAGTGTCCATTTTACATATTATAGTTCGATTTTGTCGTTCGACAATTTATGTGAACTAGGAGGAAAAATGGTTAGAAAGCTATTTGATCCATCCCCTCTGGTCTGTTAAATGCCCCGAGCATATAGATTACTGTCAGTTCATTGGGGGTTTCCATCCGAACGTTCTCGATAAATACTGACTCAAATTCTTCCGAATCAAAATATTTGCGAAACTAACAAACATTCGGACTTTGATAAATATTTATTTGAATGGCGTAAACATTTGGAAGACTTGGCATGTTTAAAAAAAAATTATCTTTATGTTTAATCAATAATAAACAAGGAGTGAAGAACAACGATACCTGTTAGTTTTATCAGTCCTCCTAAGTTTTAATAATTGTTCTCGACGTTATTTTTAACCGTTATTCAACTATATAAACGAAACTGGTGATAAAGCCAATTTTGGCGCCTCATTGATATTTTAAACAATAGACCATTCTGGAAATAATCTCCGTTTGAATCACTTTCTCGTCGGCTGCGTTTTGCGATTAAAAACGAACGAACGATTTGTTCTTTTATTTCACGATTTTTACATCCGTTTATTCTAGAAGGTTGTTTACTTAAAATGATCTATTTAATAGTTAAAACTATCGTTAAAATTATTTATGGCATTTATTCATCACTATTTTCTGTTCTGATTATTTTGAAGCACAGACGCGTGACATTTATTTATTTTTAGTCCATCCTTTATATAATCTATAGTGCTGACCTACCTGCACACTCCAATACATCATCACCACCTACGCGGACGATATTTGTACGATTTTGTCCACTAACTCGAATACTGTTCAAGCTACCTCCAACATCCTTGAACGCCTTGAGCTTATCGAAGATGGGATCCAAAAGTGGAGGACAAGACAGAAAAACAATCCACAAGGTCCACAAACCAACAACAAAGTGATATCGACTTCCATTCAAGTCACCTACTTAAGGCTACACCTACATAGCAGTCTGACGCTTGTAATCCCCAAACAAGCGTTAAGTGACAAATTAAATTAATTAAAAACAGTTCCTCCGCCTTCCTTTTTGAGAGATTTATATTTAGCTTGCCTCATACTTGGTCGTGTCCAGTGTTTGAGTTTTTCTTTTTCAAGCTATTTTTCCAGTTCCAACTTAACCACATTAGTTAAGTTGGACACTTAGTTGAGGTTCTGGTCCTATACCTGAAAGGGCTGCTCGTTTTTTGCCTAGTTGATCAGGCTGTTCATTTCCTTCTGTACCTTCATGTCTGGCATCTCATTGCTGTGTTTTCCTAGAGTCATTAGTCAATTTAAGCACTCCCAGATAAGTTCAGAATTGAAAGAATACTCATTTATAGTGCTTTTATAGCTGCCTTACTGTATGAGAGTAAACCTGTGCCCGTTACATATGTCTCTTTACCTCCTGTGCACAGAGTTGTATTTCATGGGCCTCAGGTTGGAATATTCTTGGGTTTAGTCTTTACTAGACCTTTACTAGTATACTGTTCGGCCCTTTTACCCCGAAGCCTACTCCCTGTTCTTCGATCCATCTGTATACCATTGTTTACCAGGAAAATTATAATTTACATTTTCATAATTATTATGGCTTTCGAGGGTTTGTGATTATGGCCTATCTCTGTTTTGGCCGGGACGACCTTTGGGCCGGGCATTTATTGGGGCAGGAGAAGGGCCGCAGGCTCGCTAGTAGGCATTCAGGTCTTGACCACGCCAATATCTCCGTATCGTTTTTTCTCTTTCTCTCGACTCTTGGGATTTCTAACGTCATCATCCCTCGACACTTGTCCCTGGCTTCAAGGACGATTTACCAGCAGGAGCGGGTGCGGATTCGGGCATGAACTCCAACATCCAGCCCAGCGCTGTCGAGCAGTAGCCAGAAGGTGAGTGCCCCGCATGCGATTTTTTTTCTTTCTTCGCTTTCCTCCATAAGTCAATTCCCCACAATTACTTTTCATTTATTTTCATTTACTCTTTCTTTATTTTCAGTTCACATTTTTCCGTATTGGCCGTAACAACCATGTTAGCGCCCCTTCATGAAACTTGGGGCTACCTTTCTTCCAAAAGTTTTTATTATAGATGACCTTTTCGAAAGGTATGTCAAATTTGAGTTTTTATCTCATTTAGTCAGATACCGTTATGGCCATCTCATTTATTTTAATTCAACCAGGAATTTGGTGCTGGCTCGTCCTTAGATCTGGCTTTCCTTGTATCTCAGGAGTCTGTTGGCACTCTCAAAAGCAACATTTTGTACTTATGTAAGATGGAAGGTAGAGTGAGGTTTCAACTTAAGAAAAACCACCACGGTCTTTCAAAAATATAGATAAACATGAAAGTACTCCATGACACGAAAGAGAATCCTTGAAAAACTAGAAATACACAAGCACAATTCTGCAATTTACATACATCATTTAAACCACTTAAAACGGAAGAGAATCGATTATCAAAATGACAGGCTGACAAAACAAAAATCCGGACTTCGTCATAAACGACGACGAACGTAAAACCGACCCACTCCATTCGTCTAGAACGGAGTAAACACAAAACAATTAAACCACCACTGATGATGGGGTCAAAACGCGTTTGACAGATCAAAACAGACGAAATGATCGAAAACGACTATGTTTCAAGTTCATCACCACCCTCAATAAGAAATCACACATACCTCTAAAACGTATAATTAGTGTCATAAGAGCCGAAAGTGATTCATTTAGAACCATAAATAATAAATAGGAATGCAGAGAAAAATAAATCGGACGTTATGTGGAGAAGCCGAAAAGATCGGAGGAAGCTTCGAGTTCATATCCCTCAGGAAGAAATCTCACTTCTAAACATATAATTAGCGTCATCACATGCCAGAAGTCAAGGGCCATCCAGGAGGGACCACCCGAATTGTTCTCGCTTTGAATCATTCAGGCTGAAAAGAAATCTTGGTGGGCGGTATTAATTGCGTTCCGGAAGTTGGACTCGATCGGTTGCCCTTGTCCTGTTTATCGTGAGTAAAACAATTATCATGTCCGATACGAGCTTTCTGAATATTGTGACTACATTCGCCCATCTAAAGCAGTCTATTAATAAACATGCCGATCGAGCGTGCGACCAGTCACGTTTCGGGACTCAAGTTATGTCGGTAAAGTACCTGAACAACTGACATAGGAGATCAATAACGGCTCGATTCCATTCAGGCTGAGATTTTTAAAATTGTCCATCCCTGGTGATGTTGTGAACGGCGGAACAAATAACAGCTGAAGAGCTTCAATGTTCGTGTGATGAACATTCCTTAAGACTATTATATTTCGTGGTCCAAGTAACTTCTTTCAATTAATTAATCTTTCTATGTAAGGTATTGGTAATGAAAAAGTTAATGTCACGAACGGGGTTCGAACCCACGACCTTCGGCTTCGAATCCCGCTCGTGACATTGACTTTTTCATTTCGACCAATACCTTAAATAAAAAAAATTCTTTAAGACGTTATTTAGCCGCAAATTAGTCCATTTGTCACACATTGGCAAGTTGCCCTTGGGAATTTAATTGGTAATAATACATAAAATGTGTTGTAAGGAGGTTTGACCTCTCGTCCGCGACATCCACCGAGTGCAGGAGTTAACTTCAAAATGTAAACCATCAATCGATTACAGGTTTGATATTATACATAGAATTGGTCAGCGAGTCGGTGAACCCATGATGAACCAGCATAACATCAGTTATTTGGTCCGTTTTCACTCGCAGGTTTGTTGAGTTAATCATACAAGTAAGTTTCGGCGTTGCGCCATCATCAGGGAGGAACTGCTCCCGAGGACAGTAGTACAATTATCCAATACCGAAACGCGTCTCAGGAATTCAACATTGTCATAAGTGACCCCATGCCGGTTCGGCATAGTTGTAACAAAGGGAAGAAAAACAAGACACAAAGTAAAAATCTTTATTTTCACGTTATTGTCATCTGTTGAATGAGCCTGGCTGTGTAATCCGCTAGTTGTTGAATTTAACCATTGAGACCGCATTTACATACACAGGAAGAGACATGCAACCTGACTGATCTATTTAACAAATTACGTATTAAAATCTCATTGAAAACGGCCAACACAGGAGAATCCTTTTTCAAACAGAACAACGACAGGATACGGGATAACCAGAGCGACAAACGCATTGGAAAGACCTGGGAGACAATGTCAAAAAATGTAATAAATATTCATACACATTACAAAACAAACAAAAAACTAGACAGTGACTCTGAATAATTTCAAATGGCGAAGTAATCAACTCTTAAAACACAAAGGAACCTCCTCTTTGACCAGACCCAGAAGGCAAAAACAGGACAAACTCACGAAAGGCCGCACAGGCTCAATCACCTAAGGTTCAATGCTCAAACATCTCCATTCCAGATATTGCGATGTAATTCCAATGTGTGTTGCTGGACAATTCATACAATTAATTTTAAAAATTACATCGGATTTGTAGGCTGTTGGTGTTGGGTCTTTGACTTTGGAAAAAAGTGTAAGTACTGTTTTATGGGTGTTTAAAAGCTGTTCTGAGGAGAGGATTTTACTTAATTTATGTGACAATGTATGGACGAATGGAATGGACATGTATATTGGTTGGTCTTTGTATGACTGGTTGGATGATGTATACTGTGGGGGATGTTGTTTTATGTAGTGCTGGTTTATGATTCTGTTGATTATGTTTTTAAGGCAGTTGTAAGGCATCATTGTACAACACGAAACGTCGACAAAGAAAATGAAAAAGGTGTTTTTCTAAACTACCTCATTCTTGGCCGCTCCTCTCACGACTTCAACAAATTATGAAACAACAGATGGCTAAGAAACACGTTTGAAAAATTACACTAAAATAGTTTTAAAATAATTATAGTAATAATAATATATCTATTGATCCTGTAAGTTCAAAACACTTTAATTTACCTAAACTACCTAACTCTAACCGTAATCATTCCAATCCTAACCTAACCCAACCCTAACCTTAACCTAACCTATCCCAACCATGTGTGGAAAAATTGAAGTGACATGGTTTTCAAAAAATAATAATAGGCTTAGAACACGCATTTTCAAATTGAAATGTTTACCATGAACGCCATGAGCTTGTTTTAAAAAGAAATCGGCCAGTTCGATCAGATGGGGTCGGTTTAATGAATGGTGTTTCGTAAAAAAGGCATTAAAGTATATTCAGGTTTAAATAAAAGACCAAAACATAGAAATTAGTATATTCCACTGCAGACCTGTGGGAAGAAAATACCCTAGTACCATCCATTCTCACCCACATCGACAGCCTACAGCTTTTCAATTAAGGTTCGATGGACGAGGAGGAGGTGTCCGTTGAAAATAAAACAACAAAATACAAGTCCTGGTAATAGAAGCTGAAGTAGAGAAAGAGACGTGACACGAAGGATCTTCGGCACACGTTTGGCATTTCAAGATGGGATACCGTTACAAGACTGTCTTGCACGCTAATACTAAGCCAGGCTAAAAATGTACAGAGGAAAATATTTTTAATCTTACGCAATATTTAAATTTCACAACAACAAAAAAAAACAGTTAACAGGATGCCACATCCTAATCGTTTCCCCTTGTATAGCGGAAAGATAAGAAACTTTAGATAAGAACTTTAGAGATTATCACGAAAATAAATGCAGCGACAAAATCATCACGGCTTGTAAAACAAAACCCGGTTCGCCTGATCAAATGATATCTGAATTATTTAACAGTTTTCCCGTTAATTTTTACTCAACTTCTGATTATGTAATCTCCACTGTTGCTACAGCTTGACGAAATGAATGATCACTCAAAAACAAATTGTGTATCCAGACTCAAAAACATATCCATATTAATTAAACATTAATTGTTTAAATTTGTTAATAGTTCTATGCTCTTTCTTAACTTCAACTGTTAAGAAAATGGGTCGCCTATTTCCTTTTATCCTCCAGCTTTCTTTTGGCTAGTCACGCTTAAAAAATTTGTCCAATTTGTAATGTTTCTTCGGTTTTTGTCATTTAATTTATTCATTTTAATAAAGTCTGACCGATGACTGTAAATTTGTCGTACGACACATTGTAGTACAAACATTACAAAATATTAGTATCAATACAGAACAAAACAGACTTAAAGGATTCTTTGAATTGAAAACTTCAAGATCTTTTGTTCAGAATTAATGACAACGGCAAAGGGTTTCAAATCTTACTTATGTACAATATATGCCTTGTAACCACATACTAGACACCAGAATAACATCGCTGTAACCTGAAATTAGTGCAATTTGTAAGTAAAGGGAATCACTCGATTAAGAAGAAAACAGTAGTAACCCTACCTAACCTAACCTCTCCCTAGCCATAAAACCTACACCAGTCTCAAACCCTTACTCTACCTAACCTAAGCTGTCCCAAACCCTAACCCTACTTAATCTATCCTGACTATTTCTAAATTAACCAAGCCCGCCCCCAACCCTAACATTTTTACAGTATACTAATTTTATGCAAAGAAGGTTGAGATGAAAGATTAATGCCACGAGCGACAAGAGCCCACAATTTTCGGATAAATACTCCGATGCCCTATCATCGAGCTATCATGACGTTCGGCTCACCAACCCAAACAAGTTTTTAAATCCTCTATTATTTCCGGTAATATTACTTAAACTTACTTAACCTGAACTACCCAACCCATAACGCGAAATCGATGACGCGAAAATGGTCACAAAAAATTGTGTACCCAACCAAAAACCATATCGATGTCATTAGAGTTTAAATTGTTTTGACCATGGCCATAGGCTGCTGTGAAAAATTACCGTTAGCACTGCTAGTTGGAACTATGCAAGAGAACAAGGAAGGAAAAGGGTTTCTATTCAAACTGATAATCATTTTTTTCTGATCGTTCGCTTTTCTGGCCAAATACTGTCCGAAGTGAGACGGGTTGCGGGTTAACGACTTCATCGGGTGGTGGAAGTGGGGTTTCTTGTTTGTCTTTTTGTACCATTTCCATTATTGTACAATCTTGGCCTGTTCGGCCAAGCGTCGTCGGGCAAAAGAATTCACCAGCCCGGGAATTCGTTCTACTACATTTTTTAACACAATCCTACTGAAAGGTATTCAATTGAATCTAATATGATCACTACAAGAGAACACAACAAAGAATTAAGAAAAACTATTTTGGTGATTCTTCTCTCACAAACCACGAAAAGTTGTCCAAAGTCCCAAGAAATTTATCCATTTTAGTGAATTTACAGGTTTTATGATGTCTAATAAATCCAACCATATATTTCTGTGATAAAAGAAAACGAGACTGAAGAGACGAGGCGGGTGTCCTCAAAATCAATTTTTTGATATATAAATATCGCAAACAGAACGAATTTTAATAGACCAAAAGCAATGTAAATCTACCGCACAGGAAAATATTTAATGATAGATATGTAACCTAACCATGTTTAACCAAACCTAACCAAAACCGCCCCAAGCTTAATTAACCTTACCCAGGTAACGCAAAATCCCATAACCTTAACCTAACCTCAACTCGTCCATAACTCCAACGATAACCCGACCTAAACTAACCAAACCCGCCCCTAACCTTAACATTTTTCTAGTACATTAATTTTATGCAAAGAAGGTTGAGATGAAAGATTACTGCCACGGGCGACACGCGAACCCACGATTTGTGGATAAATACTCCGATGCACTACCATCGAGCTATCGTGACGTTCGGCCCACCAATCCAAACAAGTTTTTAAATCCCCTATTACTTCCGGTAATATTACTTAAACCTACTTAACCTGGACTAACCCAACCTATGTTTACTCTCAGGTAAGGCGGAATTGATGACGCCAAAATGGTCACGCAAAAAAAAATTGTGTATCCAGCCCAAAATCATATCGATGTCAACAACATTTACCTTGCAACCATATACTTGGGCACCAGAATAACATCTCCCCACATACAGCCTGAAATAAAAGGAATGTTGTACGATGAATTTAGTAATTTTAACCTAACCAAATCTGTCCCTGACTTTAACCCTCCCTAGCCTAACCTAACCATCCCTAACACTAACCCTGCCTAACCTAACCTGTCCTTAACCCTAACCCTACCTAACGTAACCTGTTTTTAAATGGTCACCACCCCAAATCATATCGATGCGAATAACAACTAAATTGTTTTGACCATGACCCTAGCTCTTGTGAAGAAGTATAATTAACTGCAAGTCATTGGGTGTGGTTTTTTTAAAATAAATTGATAAATTTAATACGTATTTAAGTCTCAAGCAGAAGAAAAAATAATGTTTTCG